AGGAGAGGTGGTATGTAATTTATGGCAATAGTTTATATATTAATTCTCTTTTGCCCCAAACTGGGGAGTAATTTTGCAAATCGCATATTTTTTTGACATAAACAGCTATGTTGTACAAACGAAGGGAACATAAAGAAATCTTGAAGTATTTTATTATTTATTCCAGAATTGAATTTATCTTTTATTGAATAAGTAACTGCTGTAACTAATAAATAAGATGTAATGCATGTAGTGTTTTAAAAATATTTATCATTAGAGCTGCAGAAATTTTGTACACTGAAATTGAAACAACGGCCATTAAAATCATGATTTAAAAACATTTATTTTATGGTTTAAAAAGCCTGAAAATTATTTCTAGTAACTTATTTGCTGAGCATAAAATAATTTGGTTTACGATTTCTTTTCACTTTTTAAAGAATTGAAAGAACTCTTAGGATTTAGTTCGGAAATTAAGAATTAAGATCAAATTCCTTATTTAATTCATTCGAAATTAAATTTATTTTGAATACTCTAAATGGTTAAAAATATTAACTGTTGTGACAGCTGTTTTAATCTTATGTGTTTCTTTGATTATAAGACACACCTTAGTTTCAATACAAAGATCAGAAGGAGAAAGAAAGGATTCTGGGAAAAACAAATGAGTCAAATGAAAGACTAACGTATAATTGAGTTTTTTTAAAAAAATTCTAACGGATTTACTGACAATAGTATTTTCTCATACATCATATCATACTAAATCAGAATCAGTATTCTTCTGAACTCTTTTTTATTATGTATACATAAAATTATGCATTAATATGCATTTTTTATATAAATGCTTAAAATATTACTTCCTGCTAACTACTGGATGCATGAGCAAAACACAGGGAAATTCGAGTTCCCTGCTGTTATGAGGAAACCTCATGCTAAAAACATTTATATAGGGGAAAATTGTGTCTTGGCATTTCATTTTTAAACAAAACTGAAATATATATCTTTTTTAATTTATTATTTCTTCCATGTACATAAGGCTACATACTTACATAAGGACTAAAGTGAAATTGAAGTTTTTTTATCCAGTTGTATTCAAACCAATAACTGTACAGTAATATTGTAACCCTCTAGTTTAGGTTAAAAGAACACACACCAAGCAAATATTAATTCAGAAGTCAAACAAAAAAAAAAAAAATAAATAAAATCAGCATTATATTTTCACAGGACTGGTGTTGGTGATTTTACCGAAATTTCATACTCAGCTGCCAAAGTGGAAATGAATGAGATAAGATAGTGGCTTGACAGGAGTTCATTCAACTGCTGGCACCATCCATTGATGAAACAAAGCTAAAACTTATTTTCCATAAGATGGCTTAGAATAAGGGTCGTTGACTAGGATCGAAAGATTTTTTGAATGTGAAACATCTCTAGAAAATCTAATTCACCAATGGAAGATGCTTTTTGAATAATTTTGGCTGCAGAAAAACAGAAAGTGTGATTTTCGAACCAACAATGCTGAGCAACAGGGGATTTCTGTTTCCTTTTTCCTAACAAATGCCTCATGTTCTTAAACCCGAAATTTTAAGGCTTTCTTAGTTTGACCAATGTAAATTATACCACACTGGCAAGAAATCCTGTAAGTATCCCAGGTATTCATATCTGGAATGGGGTCCTTTAGTATGGAGCTTGGAATTTTATTGATAGGCGAATAAATGACCCGAATATACGGTATGGAATGGCCAGCTCAATCCCCAGGCCTGAATCCGATAGAGCATGTCTGGGACTACTTTGGAGGTTGCTGCTTTAAGTCCTCCTCCAAGGGAGATGAGCTTGAACAAGGATCATTTTGTGTCTGGTCATTGCTTTTCATTTCTTTGATCGACAACTTAATTGACAGCATGGAATGTCGCTGCTGCCAGTGTATTGCAGTTAGGGATGGACACATTCCCTATTAGAAGCCATTTTTATAATGTTACCAACCCATTTTCCCTAAAAAAACTGTAATATAGTCTTTCTCCAAGACTGGATTTCTCTGCCAAGAGTGCAATTTTTTGTTGTAATTCACGTTTGTGTTGAACTTAAAAAACATTCTATGTTGCATTCATTAAAGAACAGTTTAGTCAATATGTCCTGTAAATGTCTTGTTTCTATGTTGTTTCATTCTCAAATTAGATACAAAAAACATGATGTTCCTTAACCTTCCTTTTGGAGGGCAGTGTATATTTATTTAATATTTATTTTTAAAATGAAAAAAGGCCCTCCATGCCACGAACCTTATTCTTTGATTTTTTTTGTTTGATTTTGCAACATTATTATTTAAAGTAATATTACCCATTAGTAGTAAATAACAGCATGTTCTAATGAAATTGATAATCTGCACTAAACTTACAAATAAGTGATGAATACACTTACCCCAAATACTACTTTGGCATGTAAATATATTTTAATCACAATATTAACAGTAAAATAATATAAACATGACTGGAATAATAACCTTAGCAGTTGTAAAAATGTATAACCAGATGAAGAAAATTATCAATACTGCATTAATTCAGACCTCCATTACCTAGTTTTAGTGAAGCATATAATGTAGTGAAAACTTCAAAAACATTTTGCAATCATAAGAATGTTTTGATTTAATTTGAATTACAACTTCATTTTGAAAATTATACTGTAAATACTAAATTTGTTTCTAATAAAACTGAAAATGTATTTCATACTAAATAATAAATTTAAAGCAGAAATCTTTATTTAGTACAATGAAAGCAAATTATACTTTTTTGGAAAACATTTCAGAAACCTCTCATTTAGGGATACTCACTTTGGTTCCAAATATAACCTTAAATGAGAGATTTTTCTGTTATTTCATAAATATTCCCATAGGAACTAGCTAACACACAAAGTTCATTATTTTTCTTTGGCAGACTATAAATCTATTATGCAAACTAATAACTGTTATCACCAACTCTACACTTCTCTTTAAATGGCCACCATCACAGAACATCAACTGTATGAAACTGTGGGTGGTATCTTAAGTTCACCGAATGTTCTAAAATTCCTATAGAATGTTTTATGCAGATTTTCTACTTTTGATAGTTAAAACAAACCAAAAAAAAACTAAAATGGGATTTCAAATTTCTTATTGCGCTATAAATAAATGAATTCAGGAATATACATTTTTTATATACTTTTAAACTATGACTAATGCAAAAGAAACATACTAGAGAAGGTAAGAGTTATTATCCTCTCTATTTTTAAAACTGCCTTTACCTTCTCCATAGTCTCTGCCAGATTATCGATTCCTGACTAGGAACTTCTAGATCTGCCACATGAGAAAGGCCCAACTAGCAATTATTGTTACTTCACAAATATAGTTATACATATTCTGATATGTTCTGAAAGCAATTCTCAAATCAGGTAATCAAACTGTATACTTAGATACGGATGTTTGATTTAAAAAAAAAAAAAAAAAAATACTGAGGAGACATAAAATACTTAACAAATTCCCATAAAACTCCACTTAATGTAACGTTTAGAGGAATTCTATCCTCCTCCAATTGATAGTTAAAACTAGACAGCAAATTGAAATCCACAGCTCATATTGCTAAAAGATGGTTCTTAATCATTCTTGATATTGCTTCTGATTGCCTAAGGTACAACAAGCAATATTTTGGATTTAAAAGTAAAATAATATACATCAGAATTTACCTTTCAAACTGTTCTAGGAAAAATTTCTCATACAGTCTTGATTCCTTCAGTCTAATACTTTTCAAGGCATCCTGGAAATGCATTTTTCAGTCTCCATATACACTGAAGTGAAAGCCACGGGATAGCAATATGCAAATATATAGATAGCAATAGTATCGTGTACAAAATGTATAAATGGACAGTGCATTTAGCAGGGCTTTCATTTGGTATTCAAATTATTCATGTGAAAAGGTTTCTAACATGATTATCGCTGCATGACAGGAATTAAGACTTTGAACGCGGACTGGTAGTTGCAGCTAGATGCATGAAACATTCCATTTTAGAAATCATTACAGAATTTAACATTCTGAGAACCACAAGACTGTGCCGAGAATCAGGCATAACTTCCCATCATGGACAATGCAGTGGCCAACTTAATGACTTAGTGCACTTAATGACTGAGATCAGCAACATGTGTGCAATAACCACAGATATCAATATGGGGCATATGACGGACATTCTAGTAGAACAGTGTGGCAAAATTTGGCTTTAATGGGCTATGGCAGCAAAAGACCGAGCCAAGTGCCTTTACTAACAGAACGAGATTGCCTGCAGCACCTCTCGTGGGCTCGTGACCATATCAGTTGCACTTTAGATGACTGCAAAACTGTGGCTTACACAGATGAGTCATGACTTCAGCTGCTAAGAACTGAAGACAGAGCTTGAATGATGTACAGACCCCCCCCCCCGAAACCATGGACCGAAGCTGTCAACAAGGCACCGTGCAAGCTGGTGGTGGTCCATAATGATGTGGGCTTCTCTTTTCATGGCATGGCCTGGGTCCTCTGGTCCAAATAAACTGATCACCGACTGGAAATTATTATGTTCAGCTACTTGGAGACCACATGCAGCCATTCATGATCTGCATGTACCCAAACTGCGATGGTGCAATGCGATGATTTACGTGCCAAATAAAGGTTCTAGAGTCCATGTGATACATGAGAAATGCCATTTATACAAATCCACAACATTATTTTTCTACAAATGGAAGTCGAAGCCCTATTTATCACAACTACAAAAGTTTATACAATATAACAACTTATACTTAATTTAGAAAAATAACTGTCATCCTTCTATCCCTTTGTTTCATTTGCATTTCAAAAAAAAACCTTTCCAATTTAAATATATATATATAAATAACAGCAAGATAGCAAATTTACAAGACAAAATTTTTAGCTTTACGAACTTTACATTACATGCATGATGTTTTCGATATAAAAATGCAAACACAAATAAAAACAATAAGCAAATATGCTGCAATATATATAAAATGAAGATACCTCATTTATATGTTTATATGTTTTTATAAGGTCAACGCTAAGTTTTCGGAGGGGAGCCAAGCTGGGATCTCGACATTTAAATGGTGCTGGTGAATGAGATGAAACCAAATCAATTTGAGAACCTTGTGTCCTTGTATTTATAGCGACTAGTTGATCTTGCGTGACTAGTTGGCCATACATAGACACTGGTTGCTTTGTGTGATCTCCTAAAACTAAAAATGAAAAAATTAGATTACATATATTACTTCAGTCTTGCTGATTGCATTTTCTTAATTAATACACATTCATTTCATCTAAACCATTTAAAAGCTATACAGCAAACTTTACTGGTTTTCAAAATCATAATTTTTTTCATAAAATATTCTCAGCTATACAGAAGGTGTTTAAAAACGGTGGCCACAGACTATTTCCTTACATACTGATAGAAGACATGCACTTTCAATAATGAAGTTGCTCAAAAATTTTTACACGAGATTCTGAAACTAAAAAAAGTCATTTATATTATTCTGCAGTAAATAAAACAGCATTTGCTATTAGTTTTCTCACTGACCACATAGAAATATTTAGTACTAACATTTGCTTGACTTTTATATGCAAATATACAGAATTTTTTGTACCTAACTTATTAAAGCATAATGAATAGCTTAGTAAGTGGAGCTTTTACTTCGCAAGATCATATGATATTATGTCTATACAATTGTCGCCCATGGTGGTGAAACTGTTTTCATATTATTCTGTACCTTACTTTGAGAAACTTAGTAACTGAAAGTACTTATCTGAGATCAAATAGTTAAGAAGACTGTAGTATGTCCCTACAAAGATTTCTATAAAATGTGTATAGAGTTATTTCTTACTCAGACTAAAAGAAATATGTCTGAAGAATTATACCTCTACAATCCATATTTTTTAAAAGTATGTTTTCAAACGTATTAATATCATGTGGTACATGCAATTTATTATGCCTGCATTTATTGTACAGAAATTAGTGCCATTTGTTCAGCTAAAAATCTTTTGAATTTGCCCCAACACAACAACATATATTCCCTTCATAAATTATTGAAATATCCAATATACATAATGCAAAAATATTAAAATAGCATAACATTAAGTGTTTTAATCAGTACTGATCTTCGTAATACTGTACAAAGTCCGTAATCAGGACTTGTCGGGACTTCAGCGATTTCGGATTAGGGGTTTTTGTCGGATTATAGATTATCACTTTAAATCTGGTAAGATATATTATACAATTAAAAATATAAAATTGTAATTTATAAAATAAAGAGCAATTATGATCTAAAGGGTATCAAAATTTACAAAAAAAAGCTTAATATTTATTTGTTTACTTTATTAAACATTTCTTTCAATGCAAGTTGTTTAAGATGCTTTGTTTTTTGTGCTAATACTTTCTCTTTAATTCTATAAACAGACATAATTTCTAGTTCAGTTACAAAATTCCACTGTTCAAGTCTTGTAATTGCTGTGTCAAGAATACTGACTAACTTGTCAATTGAAATTTTTTCGTTTTCAATAACCTCTCTGTCACTTTCTTCGGAAGTGGAAGCTTCACTTCGGAAGTGCGCATTAAACGCGCATGCGTAAAGCATACAAATAAAAAAAAAGTTTGTGGCTTTGAGGTCCAGATCATTCCGGATAATGGACGTCCGGATTATGGACTTTTTACTGTATTTAAAATACAGTTTATTTTCCTACCACTGGATTCAATACTCATTTTTCATTTTCTTTTTTTTCCATGAAAACTATGGGTCCTGAAGGTATAGTTCATTCAGCATATTTTAGCTACTCAAAGAGCATTTAACACTGCCATATACACTTTTTGAAATATTTTAAAGAACTGCCTATAAATATCACAAACAATACATATAGGTATTTTTCAGCTAAGCAAGAATTTTCTACGCTATCACACAAAAATATTTACTTTTATAGGTGAAGTTTCAACATGCAATACTTGGAATTTGTTGGTTATTGCTTAAGATAGACTAGCTTAAATAATTTACATACAGAGTCAGATATTTTCCAGTTTTCACCAATATCATGCCAGCATTTTGAAACTGTTTCTGTAATTTTTACTCATCTTTTTTAAAAAATTGTATTACACATAAATCCTTTCATTTCCAAGCAGGTTTTTTTTTATTATTATTATTTTTTTACTTTGTGCATTAAATGGAAAAAATATTCATAACAAAAATTTTCTGACATAGAGTGGTGGCCAAAATTGTAGACACTTTTGGAAATTTCTATGTTTTTGAAATTTGTATGCTTATAGGAAATGTTAAGTTTCGCAAAATGCAAACTTGTATATATCATTTTAAAGAGAATTTATTACTGAATTCAATACAAAACACAAAATTCAATTATTTGCAATACAAAAAAAAGTTATATGTACTATAATATAAATAAAAACACAGTTATGAAGTGGTTTGTAATGTCTAGCTTTCCTGGTCAATCACTGTTCTTGTTCTGAAAACCAATCAAATGTTAGTAACTGCCAGTAGAAGCTGACATCATGTTTACACTTGAAACAATTCATTATTTTGCTTTGTTCTGTAGAAGGAGGACCTGTTTCTTATACACTGCAATTACAAGTAGGAATTTTTGTAAAAATTTTTAATATTTGGTCAAGAAGCAATGACATCAAATAAAAGAGTAGATTGGACATCTAGGAAGAGATGTAATATTATTGTGTTATGAGAAAGTGGTCTTTCCTATGCTGAAATTGCAAGACAGGTGGGTGGTTCAGAGACTACATCTGGAGTCAGAAAGTTTAGTTTACGATATCAGAGACAAATTCAATAAAAAATAAAGAAGGAAAAGGCCAAAAACGGTGCACTACATCTATTGATGACAGAAGAATAAAAAGACTATGTCTCCAAGATAGAAAAATGTCATCAGCGGCCATCAGAAGTGATCTGAATGCTGGTGTTTCTGTCAGTTCAAGAACAATAAGGAGAAGATTAACAGATGTTGGACTGAGAGGTAGAATTCCACGAAAAAAGCCTTATCTTTATTTTCAGCAACAAATAAAAGACTAGAGTGAGCAAAGGAACACATCAATTGGACAGATGATCAGTGGTCACAAGTTATATGGAGTGATGAAACTAAGATATCGTTATTCGGTAGTGATGGGCGAAAATATGCAAGACGTAGAATAGGAGAAGAGCTACATCCTGACTGCATTCAAGCAATTGTGAAGAACCCAGTTAGTGTTATGATTTGGTCATGTATGTCAGCAGATGGTATTGGTCGCCTTCATGTCATCGATGGGACACTGAATGCCAGAAAATACACTGACACTATTCTAGAACCAAAACTTCTACCTTCCATCAGAGATCTCTTTCCCAACAATGCTTCGTTTATTTTTCAGCAGGATTATGCTCCTTGCCAAACGGCCAAAATATCGAAAGAACGGTTTCGTACAAAGAGCATTAAATTGTTGTCATGGCCAGGAAACAGTCCTGACCTCAATCCTATTGAAAATTTGTGGCACCATTTGAAAACTCTTGTCCGAATAAAGCACCCATCAAATAAAAGGGAACTAATTGAGGCTATAATTGTTTCCTGGCATCATGTAATAATGAAAGAAGAGCTTAAAACTCTTGTCAGCTCAATGAAACGTCGATGTGAATCTGTAATAAGAAATAAAGGGTACCCTACTAAGTACTGATAACTCACTGCAATCATCACTATCTAATGTATATCGATAACTATTATCGTTTAACTTTTTTTGTATTGCAAATAATTGAATTTTGTGTTTTGTATTGAATTCAGTAATAAATTCTCTATAAAATGATATATACAAGTTTGCATTTTGTAAAACGTAACGTTTTCTATAAGCATACAAAGTTGAAAAAAATAAAAATTTCCAAAAGTGTCCACAATTTTGGCCACCACTGTATGCTTAAACTTCTGAACAGCTTGACCAATTTTATACAACGACAAAATTTCTTGCTATTTTGCACATATAACCTTGTTATTTAAAGTAAAGGGTTATTCATAATTCTGTGGAATATTTTAAATACTCATAAAATAACTACGTAATTAATACTTACATAATATAATTTTGAAATTAATTACTTATATATTCTTAATATTCTGAAAGTATACTCCCAGTTCCTTTACACATTCTTACAAATGCCCTATATGTCCATCTTTAATAATCCAACATATATTTATGCAAAAATCCATTTCATCCCATACATTTGTCTTCATATCATGGTCAACTGCAGCATCAGTGATATGGTTTTGAAGATCACTGGATACTGGAGATAAAAATGGAGTATTCTTGGATGAACCCTCACAAGAAGTCACGTCCTCACCAATGAATTGCACATAGCTAAGTTTCATCTGGAAATTTATAAAACACTTCTTGATAATATTGACAGCAAATGCTCCTTTCTGGAATTCCATTCAAAATCATTGCTGCACAGCCATAATGGATGAGATTTTTGCATATTTCAGAATGACTACTTACATTTACTGAAATCGCTTTTTAACCCTTTCGCACCTCCCAAGCAAATTTCAAAAAATACTCTTGGGATAGAAACGCTTCTCTGTCTAATGGAAGACTTTCCCACCAGTCCTGCCAATATTTCTGAAGGTATTTTCATTCACTGAATACTACCTCTAATAAACTGGTGAGTGGCAAAGCTTTACTTCCGTTTTTATTATCAGGACATGTGTCCCTCTCGTCTTGGATAGTGGGAACACATTGTCCCAACAGTCCTACGTGATCATTTCTCTAGATATTATATTCTTCGGTTACTTTTGAAATAGTTGCTTATTATTTTTAATTTAGGCACATGTTAATTCAATCTAAAATGACTCGACGCCGGGGACTTACTAATGAAGAAATCAAAAAAATTTTAGGAGAGTCAGATGACGAAGATATTGCTTTGGATGATGAAATAGACGATCCCCATTTTCAAGATCCAACACACAATTTGCAGTACTCATCCGATTCAGACGAGTGTGAAATGGATATCGATCATGATACCATTCCCCAAAATATAAAGAACAGCTATAGAACAACAAAGAAAAACTGTAGGTGAATATGTAACAATTGATGAAAAATTAGAACCATTTAGGAGACGATGTTCATTTAGGCAATACATGCCAAAAAAAAACCCTGCCAAATATGGCATAAAAATATTTGCACTGGTTGATTCCAGTGTTTTTATACATGAAAAATGGAAAC